CCTTGATTATGAAGAAACTTTTCGCATATAAAAGAGAAGACATATTCCAAGATGCTATCACACCTGTATAAATACCTCTTATTCCACAACTTGCAAAAATAATGAAAAATTTCAGAAATATTGCAAATGTCTGAAACAGGTTAAATATGATATGAATAGTTTTTATAAAATAGTTACATTAAGAATTTAGACTGTATTAGGAGATGAGGGGGAAAAATCTTGTAATAAATAAAATCATTAATTAAAAAAATGTAAATATACGACTCTATTAGATATATTAGTGTAAATGTAAGTATTATGTGATTTCTATGTATATTTCTATATTTATTTACATTAATTACAAAAATAATAATGTAAGACTCAGTGCTGATGCATTTGTGTGTAACAAGTTAAAAAAAAATGAAAGGAAATGTATTATAAGAGAATTCGCCTTAGTAATTCAACTAGGTATGATAAAATGCACAAAAAAAAAATAAATAAAATAAATAAATAAATAAATAAATCTTCAATTAGCTCCTTAAAAGATGTTTATTTAATTCGATGTAACTAGATATACTAATGTAAATATATTGTTTGTATGAAGTACAATGTACAATGAAGTTTGTATGTATGTTCGAAGTAATTGTTATTTCAATCTGCCATAATTATGTTATTTCATCTGCCATAATCCAACTTTTGTTGATAGGTTATTTTTCTTTGCAATAATTGTATGCTATGGTCTTTGTAATTGTATATTCAATACGTAAGTCTAATATTAATGTAAAATTACTATGTAAATGTCTGGTAGGCTAGCATCCGATGCGGGCCAACTAAAAGCCCAGCGGGGTACAGTAGTGCGGCGGAGCAACACCTGTAAAAGTCACTGACGAAGTTCTGGTGCTCCGTCCACTTTTCCCTGTCCCTGTCCCTGCTTTAAGAGGGGAAAATTTGTATTTATAAATATTGTTGTAACTTCTAAGCAAGAGCCGGTATTAGAGAATAAAGTGCATATTTGCATTCAGAAGATGAATTTAATCTAAAAAGTGCTTCTTGTTTTGTTTACTTCGGTTTTGAAAATCCTCAAAATGCGAAGAAAACATTGTTAATGGGTGTTAAAATGCAACATGAATTTTTCTATAACTTCAAGAACCAGCTTAAAAAGTAAAATGCATATTCATGATACAATGATGACATTTAGTAACAAGAAAAACATTTTCCATCCCGGTATCAGAAAAAAAGGCGGAGGAATTTGAAAACAGTGTTGCGTTAAGAATAACAAATGCACTTAATTTACGTTTACAATACTAAATTGCTAAATAAAATTAAATAACTAGTCATTTATTTTATCAGTAAATATTCATTGTTTGTAACAATTATTCGCTGCAATTAAATTACAGTTCGAGATGAATTAATGATTGCTAGTTTTATACGTATTTATTTACATTTGAAAAACTTCCTCACCAATATGCTTTACAGTAATAATTTAGAGCAGTAGTTTAATGGTGGGTAAGAAATCAAGCTAACTGTGAATAATTAAAGGCATTAATGTATTACTCATTCAAACTCTCATTGACCATTGTTACCTCATAGCTGCAAAACGTCCCAAGAATGGTTTCAAATCCATCCTGGATTTCCACGTAATCGTAATTGCAAGGTACACTAGCCTCCAATTCGAAACTATGGAATGAAATTCGAAACTATGGAATGAAATACGAATCTTTCCTGAATTAGCTGCTGTTATAATTCAGGTGCAATTCTCCCCAGGATCATACATTTTATTTCCATAATCCAGAAAATAATAAAGAAGGGCCGGTTGCGCTGAAGCAGTCAGTTCTCCTCCGCACACTGAAGGTAAGCAAAAAAGATGAAATGATTTGAGAATGAATGAACAATGAATGAACAATGAATGACAAAGACAACTTAAAATAAGAACAACGAACCTACAAAGCTTAAAATACAAATATATCGTGACTTTTACGAAATATCACTATTAAATTTACACTTTGTAATATCTAGGTCATACACAAAAATTCAATACTATATAATTATAGTATTTTCATGGTTATAAATATTAATTGTTATAAAGTTTTTACATCAGAAAATAATCGCGCATATCAGTTTTATTGGCTTGTTATCGTTTCAGTAGTTGTTCATTCAACAAATTTTGTTGCCTGTATTTTCCTTGTTTCAGCGACGAAGCTACTTTTTTACTAAACGTTCATTATTCACTTCTAACAGATGTCATGCAGAAAATGAGATTTTGCTAGTTAAATATCATTAATGTTTAAATTAAATTTAATACACTTTGTATTCAATTTGAACTGCGACATAGGCTATTCTTATAAGAGCTCCTCTATATTCCTTTATCAAAAAATCTGATGCACAGACCAGAAGACTTCCTTCTACGAATCTATTAAATTCTAAACATTTTTTGTTGCACTTCATTTAAATTTAGTTGCTCGAATTATTCTAATTTATAAAATCGATCCCTCACGGCGAGATGAACATCAAAAATTGCAAATTTTGAAATTAAATTACCCTATCAACCTATCAATTTTTGTCGTATAGAAGCCTAAATTCTTGTAATTTTATTTTTTCATAACGAATATAAAACGTTCCCAAATATCAGTATAAGAACTGGAAGATTGAATTAAAAGTTAATTTTGGAATTTGTCCATTTGTGTTTAAATTTTGACATTGCCAAAATATGAATACTTTCGTCATTTAAAACACTTCCGTAACTCAACGTATATGACTACAACAAACGATTATGAAAATAAATGCCGGGTAAGGTGGGTGATCATAATGATATTTCCGACTGCATTAAAAAAGGGAGGTGAACAACTAGATGTTATAAATCAATTTTACAATCCATTTTGGAATGAAGAATCCTTTATTCTGTAAGTACTTTGGCGCTTTGAGAATATTTCATGCGAGGAAATTAATTCCGCTTTAGATTGCCCTTAAAAATGAGACTGTCCCACCTCTCTTGCAAGTTGCTCGAGGTATGGAAGGTTAATGTAAGTCATCAAAGTACTTAGATTTTTCCCGAGAGAAAAGTAGATTTCATCGGATATTTTATGTGAATTCACACTCTGTTAAATAGTGGAGAGCATCTCCATCCTCTCAGCCGCAGCCGTAACGCTTTGACGAACCCAGTTCGACTCTATCAAAGTAGTGCGAGAATCTTCCATGAACTGTTATGAATTGATTGATATAATGGCTGCCATACAGCGTTCTCGTGCTTAGCATGATAATAATCTGGCACTTTAATCATCCAGTATCAGATGACTGGCCAATACCGTGAGACATTAGCTGTCCTCCCTGAAAACAATGCCCCAAGATGTACCACAGGGGGCAATCAAATTGATCCATGGGTAAAAGGGGAAGCTCTGTCTCACTTTCGATAGAAAAAAATCATACCAGGAGTCATATCCAAGATGCTCCGGCACCTCATTCCCTATCATAAAACTTCTCCAGAAAATTTTCGACTCGCCAATTAAAGTGGCTGTTAATTTATATAGCCAATTAAGATTTAATACTTCCTAAAAATACGAAACTAAGCACTGGCAAATTGTGCAGAGTATGAATACTTTTCTGAAGCCTTTACGAAGATGAAACTAACTAATGAAAGAAGATTTTCAAGGACAATTCTTGTCATTTTTGGATTAGATAAGATTAATTATAGCTCGATGAAACAGAATGGATTATTCTTATCGCTCGCGTGTTCTCGTCCGCTTCTAATAGAATATTTCGATAAAGATGTCATTACTTTCTTTCGATTGGCCTATCTTCGACACTCAAAACAATTTTAAACAAACAGATAAATTTTTCAAAGAACTGTTCCTGGTAGCCCAAGAGTAGTGCATATTCTGATGATAAGTGACATGACTTAGTTAAGGCAAATGACAAGCGACGACATCAACTTTAAGACTAATGGATACTTTCACAACTAGATGTTGTGAACACTTCACTTTTACTAGATGGTCAAAATTTTGGATTATTGCGAGAAGAAGACTACATAAGACAAGACTATATTTTCGGGTGCCGCAAGCTTGTATCTCTCTAAGCATCAGCTTCAGAGAAGCACAAATGAAGTGGAATCTTCAGCATGCGAGTTGAGAAACAATTGATGAATCCTGTTCGCGGTTAAGTACATACTATTATCTGCAGAAATTTGTATAGCACTCATTATTATGAAAGATAATTTAAAACCCGGTAATGAATACCTAGCATAGAATAATAGAATGTAATCGAGTAAATGTATCGCTTACATTCGCTTGACCTCAACATCATGTCCTTTGGATGCCCTTGGATGTCCTCTCTCGGCCCATGTAGCCTAACCAATTACTCGCGAAAAGCTAAAAAGTGCTGTATCAAATGAATGTCAATTATTACGATTTGATATTAAATTTATTGTCATGTGTTTAATTTTTAAAAAGCGGGGTAGCTAAATATTAAAAGGCAAGAATTTTTCGAGACAAGAATATTCCCTTGTTATAGATATACTATAAATAAAGTGAACAATATAAGTTAAATGTAGGATTAAAATTTTATTTTCTGTTTGTGTTAATGATACCGCGCTCTCCAGAAAATTGGTATTTCTATATCGAAGTGCAAAGATACAGCATCCGCACCAACAAAGATAATATATTTCCTCAAAAAACGTAATTCAGGAATTAGATTCGAAGTTTTGTTAGTTAATTATTCAACAAAACAAATTAATACTACAGGAAATATATTATAATTTATGTTTGCAGTTCTGTTAGTTAATTATTCAATAAAACAAATTAATATTGAAGGAAATATATTATAATTTATGTTTGCAGCAGTTCTGTTAGTTAATTATTCAATAAAAAAATTAATGCTGAAGGAAATATATTATAATTTATGTTTGCAGTTCTGTTAATTATTCAATAGAACAAATTAATACTGAAGGAAATATATTATAATTTATGTAATGAAATAACACACAACCAGTATTATATCTCATTTTACACAGCGGTATTCAATGAACATACCAGTGGAATGCAAAGCACGGAATCCTTGTTTCTGTACAGATGAATCGGATTCAAATACCATAAGCAAAGTCTGGGTAGTGGATGTAACTGGTTGAGGAATCTTGGAGCCACAGAACCTTGCCAGCAACGGCGCATGGATAGAGTTTCCATCATAAAGTCTCAAGCTGTCAAACAAGCATTGTTTGTGAGTTTTCACTTCGAAAACATCGAATGCACGTGGAAAGATTGAATCATTTTTCGAATACAGTACATAAATCAAATGATTATTGATTTAGAGACTCAAATTTACTGGTTAATATGTAATTTAATATTTCTGTAAGCTTCATTTATTGTTCAAAAACCTTTAACGTATATACTTCTTGCTTTGTAAAGCCTCCTTTTTTTCTTTCTCTCTAAGCACTGAAACCCGGACAAAAGTGATATTATTAGAAGAGACCTCTATTGATTCCTTACAAATAATAATTTTATTGCACTGTGCAGTATACGTGTGTCCACAAAAGTCATTACCCGGCTTTGGGTTTGCAACCGTGGGTCTTAAACATATATATTTGCAGTTACAAAAATATTTTAAATGATTCAAAGATTCATATTTGCGTATTTTTTAATTTGAAAAACTTATTTTTATATAAAATATGAAATGTAACTTTTTTACACTTTTTCCATTTCTTATAAAAATAAAACTCTAAAAGTTTGACTCTTGTACGAGAAAAACTGATTCAGATATTTCCTTTCAAATTCAATGAAATTTTAAATTTGCGTTGAGGCGTAACTTAATATATAAATTAGGATGATTCGAGGTTGATATTTCCCATTTAACTGCTATTTAATGGCATTCTTTGTGACTAGTGTCTGTATTTATAATTTTGTTCCATTTGATATTCCGAATGAATTATTACACAAATTGTTTGTAAGTTTCCAAAGTCTAAAAATGCATTATTATTATCCTCACGAAGTTTTATTACTTCAGAATCATAATCTGATAATTGAAAAAATAATTTTTTATTTTTAATTAATATAAATAATGTTACGAGTTTGCCATGTGCCAATGCTTAAGCCTGCCAATGTTTTCTAACACATGAATTGCATAATATTATGTGAATAAGATTTTTTTTTAACGAAATTACGTTGATCAATATTTTTCATAATAAATCTCCATAGAAATTCTTCTAATAAAAATCTTTTCTAATAATCTTCTAATAAGCTCTTAACATCAGAAGCATTTTTATTTTATTTAAGTACATTTCACTTTTCAATTTGTGTACAGCCTCTGAAAATGATTCTCGATTTTAGTATCAAATATCCCAGTCAAATTTTGTCGTAAGAGAGTCATGAGTTGTATTGTTTTCTTATAACGAGTGCAACATTTTCTAAATACATGGTAAGTATAGGGATCAGAGGAACATGTACAAGGTTAGATATCGCAATTTTTACAAAGCTATAGCATGAGTATTTGCATCATTTGAAATATTTTTGTAATTGGAAGTATCTTTCTAGGAACAACGATTGTAAAGATAAAGGAAAAGGGAGGGACTTTTGTGAACGCGATGTACAGCTGCACATTGTGAAAGTTATTGTTTCATATTTAAGAACTAAAAATAAATTTGGAATAGGCAGGTAATAATCAGCTTTCGCAGAGATTGTTGACGTATTTGGCTTGAGATGGTATACTCGCAATAACCGCTAACCAATGAGAAAACAGATGAAAGATTTCAATAATTAGCTCGACAGACGAAAAAATGATAGTTATATGTGTGAAACAAAAATTTGTAATAGCGTTTTTCTATTAGATTGAAATGTTTGAAATGACTGCGAAATTCATAGAGGATATTCTATTTTAATAGCAGCTTAACATTTGGTTTCTAAAGCACAAAATTTCTACTACTATACTACATTTCATGGGAAAAATCCACAATGTCGGTAAAAATCTTTGCCAAATTGAACAGAACGTTGCCGTTTTGTCTAATTTTAAACTGGCTGATTAAAGTAAAAATGAAACAGTTTGCTGACTTATTCCTTTACTTGCTAAAAATGTTCAGTGATTTGGCTATTTAAAAAGTTTATTTTGACCTTACGTGGAGAATTAAATTCGTTTGAAAAATTCATTCTATAGCATTATTATAATATAAACTGAATTGTTGATCACAATAAGCAATGTATTTTCCATATTTTTGTACAATAATGGAAGCGAATTTGGCTGTTCGGTAACAGTATCCGAATGGTAACATTAACTGTGATCACTTTAAGTGGAGTCTTCGTATTCACTTTGGAAATGCAAAGAATATGGAGGAGGAAGATGAAAAAGAGATCGTGTAGAGCTTCGGCGACACTTGCGAAGCTTTACAAAAAGATAAATCGGTTCGTTACGTGCATGCAAAAGAAATGCGATATAGATGGTGGAAACAATTATGTTCCGAAAAGTTCCCTTTTTAGTTGAAGCAAAATTAAAGTAGTTATGTATTTTAAAGTAGTGTATTCACAGTGAAAGCAATATTTATCGTAATATATAATTTAATTGTTTACCATTTTAGTAACTTTCCTGCGTTCATCATTTTACTTTCCATCCCACTGAGGAAAATATAGAGTCATGACCTACTGTATAACCGATAGCTCAAATAAGTGGTTCTCAGCTTATTTTGCACCATGCATCCCTTTCGCCATTGCTGAAAGATCATGCTACGCCTCCTTATCAGAACTTAGAAAATCTATATATTCATTTATTTAGATTCCGATTATTTTAACGCGGTTTATAAATTAAAGAATTAAACATATAGAAAATGTTGATAAATGTAAAACTTGAAAAAATATTGTTTTTTATGTTAACAACAAAAATTAAGTACTTGACAACTAAAATAAATGATTGATTGCATTCCTCCTTCTTTTATGATTTCAAAATCATAAAATTTCCCTCTCCCAGAGAGAATTCACGACTGGTTGAGAGTATCTCGCCTAGATAGACGGCATTAGAGAAAGTACAGGACTTCCATGAGATTACTCATGCGTATCAGCTAGTAGTACATCCCAATCAGTAAATTTTAATATATATATATATATATATATACATATATTATGAAATTTAGTAAAGCAAATGACTAAACCACATACAACTGTTTGTTTGTTATACACTTGTTTATAAGTCTTATAGGTTTAGAAACTGAAATTCAAATTAAAAAAAAAAAAAAAAAAAAAAAAAAAACTATTCCTCGATGACAGATTTATTCCTCGATGGCTGACTTATCTATGGCGGATATCAAATTAGTGCAAAATATTTAATTGATTCATTTCTAGATCCTTTAAGATTTTTGGGAGTTACACTAGAACGCTTTTTTTTTTGTAAAGTATAACTACTATATATCCAGAGACCCATGTAGCAAAACTATGCCGGTACTTCTTTGACATAGCGGTCTCCCCAAGATTGAAGCGCCAATCAACTGGGATATCTCGCTGTGTGTACCTATACCTCGCTTCGTTAATCGTATATTAGCACCGTGTTGTATTTTTGCGCTCACTGCGTAGTCTTATATTATTCATTTTTGATGAGGTTTTCGAATTCGCATTGTTTATTTAAAAATACATTGATTAATGTTTTTTGTGACTATGGCATAAATCAAATAATAAGTATCCAAGTAATTTAATTTATTAAGTAATAAGATGGATGCCATATCAATTTTTCAAGAAAACGTTCTTTTACCTGACAAACGAGTAGGCGAAAATGGCTACAACATGAAACTTTAAAGTAACTACGAAACCATTTTGAAATACAAATGTTAAAATTTGCATTAAGAAGAAGAACCTTGACTTTGGAAAATGGTGCGGCGGTTCCAGAATATTGTTCGTCACTGCTATTAAATTTATGTATTCTTAGGCAGAGGAGTTACGTCCATGAAACGGTGTAACAAATAGCGTAATATGACTAAAACTGCTCCAGTTGACTTGACTCAGTTATATGCGATAAAATAATAGTAATATGGATAAGGATTCTCAAAAATATCGTTAGGAAACTACATGTGAGTGTTTCTGTTATCATTATATAGCGTATTGTTTATTTTTACATTCGTTCTTCATGGGATTGGCGAAATTATAGCTGAGGTCTTCGCGCAAATCTAAAATCGCCAAATATGAATGAGGGCTGCTATAACAAAGAAGAAACATTATGCCTTTTGCTTAGACTAAATAGGCTTTCTTTCAACTAGCTCTTAGTTCTTAACCCACATTAACTCATTAGCTTTCTAAAGGACGGCAGGGCGGAACATTACGGTTCGGAGTTACACCAGAAGGGTAAACAACTGATATGCTACTTACGAAGTTCTACCTGTCTTTGGCCCACCAGCGGCCGAGTGGGAAAGTCGCTGAAGACTCGTAGTTCGGTTCGAGGTTCGAATCCCGCTAACGGGTTGGCTGCATGGGCATATTTGTGGTTTTCTCCATGTGTAAAGTGAATATGAGCCAGTAATTCTCAGAAAGACCTCCACGAAAGCGTCCCTCTCCTTGGGCAGATAGCCCTTTGGGCTTTGCCATAATCACACAAACCAAACAAAACCAACTACTCGTCTTTGCCACAGAGTAACCGACCTTGTTCGAAAGGCGTTTTCCAAAATGCTTGTTATAATTTCTTAATATCCTCTGCCTGTCACTCCGCTGTGACAGACAATTATTTCCGATTCTTGGTATTTTAGAACAATTGGTATATCTCCACTTCTAATCAGCATACCAAAAAAAAAAAAAAAAAAAAAGTTGTTTTAATGAAAATAAAACTTTTAAAGTATCAAATACAAAAAATTTGGCCCACCAGCGGCCGAGCGGTTATGTCGCTGAACACTGGTAGTTCGGTCCGAGGTTCGAATCCCGCGAACGGGCTGGCTGCATGGGCGTTTTCGTGGTTTTCCCCATGTGTAACGTGTATACGAGCCAGTTTCCCTTAGAAAGTCCTCCACGAAAGGCATCCCTCCCCTTAGGCAGATAGCCCTAGTGTGCTTTGCCATAATTGAATACACCACACCATACAAAAAATTTGAGTTTCTTAGCCGAAATTGGCCTACTGAACGAGGTCGGTTGCCAATTAAATTTTCATTCTGCTAAAAATTGACGGTACGAAAAATGCATAGAACAATCAACAGAACATGACTGTTTAATTAAATAAACTGTATGTAAGCATCTACTGTTAACTTTCGCATTATGTCGCATCCTGCTGAACGTAACATAAATGTAATTTTTGACTTCATCATCACATTTATATGTTACGAAATAAAGTATTGATTCATTTCACAGTAAAATGCTTTTTACGTGAGGGCTTGGTTTAATTGATTATGGTAAAGCACACAAAAGCTATCTGCCTGGGGAAAGAATGCCTTCATGGAGGACCTAAAGGAAATTAGCTCGTATGCATGTTACACAAGGGAAAAACCACGAAAATGTTCATGCAGCTAGCCCGTTCGCCGGAAATAGAACTTAGGTCGGAACTATCAGTGTTTTGCGATTTTACTGCTCCGCTGCTGGTGGGCGTGTTACATGAGGGAAACGGACGACTTTTAAATTTATGTTATCCAGTTAGAACTTTGATAAATTTAAAATTTAGAGATTCTGGATCAAATTTTGCAACTGAAGATTTTAAGTTTGCTGTAGTAATTACAAAGTGTCTAACCTAATTTATTAGTATCTGACTAATAAAATTTTTTTTAAATACTATGATTTATGAACTTGGTTTCCTTAAAGTGAATTTTAAATTTCAAACTACCAGCTTGATTCTATATCCTGGAATAGTTTCGAATTTCCATGTACATTTCATCCCATTCGGATAATTATTTGGAAAGTTCGGGCTGGAAGCAACTTCTTCAGTCGAAGACACAAGATATTCACAAGGTTCTGCAATAGAAAATTTCAAGATATGCTCAAAACTTGACTGACAAAATATTACTGAACAGTACAATTGCTAACTAGTTCATTCATTTTGAGAAATATGGTTATAAAATTGAATTTATTAACAAAGTAAATTTGCAAATCTGCTATGGATGACTAAATATGCATATTTAGAGAAGATATTTGAATTTGAAGATATTTGAAGAACTGATATTTGAATAATGACGATGGAACGAGGACATGTAACAGCATGTTTTGAGCATGAAGTCAACAGTGGCCATGTTTAGAACTCTGGTGGACAAATTTATGGTCCACAATATGTAATCTCCAGCGAGTATTTAGGAATATGTCCTGGAACCAGAGCCGTGCCTACATATTTTTTCATCTGAGGCAAAGCAGTAAATGCAAGATTATTTATTTACCTATTTGTGTGTGTGGGAGGGGGGAGAATAAATAAATAAATAATATTAAATGATGTTTCTTTAATTTCTACAAAAATATATTTTTCTGAAAAACTACAATTTATATAAATTGATTTCTCACAATTTGATTTATTAACTTTTCGTTTCTCTTCGAATTCTGATGATGTATTCATATCTAAAACTGAAGTTTTACACTTTTCAAAAATGAATTAGTTTTCCTTTTTCTTTTTCTAGCTGTATTGTTTATATCACAAAATTATTTTAATATTCACTGAAGTATTCCGAAATTAAAAGTTAAAAATAATAAGTTTTAAAAATACATTTCTGAATTTTTGATTGAATAGCTAATTTGGTACCCCTTCTATTTGTTCACCTGAGGGAAGTGCCTCACCTGCCTCACCCTCGTCCCGGCCCTGACAGAAACTATAAATATATGGTTATTTCACGATGCTTGTGGTATTTCTTTCAATCGTATGAGGTCAGTCCTAAGATAACGATGGTTAAAGTATGAGAATATATATAACTAGCTAAAGCTCCCGATCTCTACTCATTCTGCTTTAAAATTCCTACTTTAAAGTTTCTATTCTGTTTTAAAGAGTTAACGAACACTGTTGCATCTAACAGTTTTAGTAAGAACTGATAGTGGGAACGCAACAATGGTGATGTGAGCTTAAACACCTCAGACGTGATTTCAAAATTAAAATTTTATAGAAATATTAATATTTATTTCTTTTAAAAAAGCAATTCATTTAGCATGTATGACTTCCACTGATAGCAGGAATGCAACAATGCCGAAGTAAAGCTAAAATAGGCGACGTGAGCACAGGATTCTGATATAAACGCCAAAAGTGTGGGCCTCATGAGGGTGATTTTTCGAAGTTTTATGTAAACGGTAACCTTCCTCTTGTTTTGAAGGTCAAGTGTAAAAAATTTCATCAAGATCGGAATAAAACCGTATATTTGTATCAGTTACACACTAACAAGCAAATAACCAGATACTCTTCTTTATTTATATAGATTATTTTAATTAAAGTAATTTATTTTAATTATGTAATTTAAGGGGTCTACTTAGTAATCGACAATAATTGAAATAAATCTGCGTTTAATGCTTTTAAATCGCTTAGTTTGTTAATTAATAATAGAATCAATTTGAAAGAAAAATTAAATATCTTATGCTTTGCTAAACGACAAAACAATGTCGCGTGGAAGATAAAAAGCATTTTATTCAAGCGTTGGCAATAGTGCCTCACCTGCCTCACCCTCGTCCCGGCCCTGACAGAAACTATAAATATATGGTTATTTCTTTTAAATTAAATATAAATATATGGTTATTTCTTTTAAATTACCGAGTTTGTGAAATTTGAAAGATAAATATATTACGAGTGGACAGCAATTCTTTTTTATATAGCTAAGTTTTCTGTTTAAATTTAAAACAAATATTTTGCGTTTTTGAGAGTGGCAGCATAAAACATTGCCGATGACAGATAACACATTTATGTTATAAAAACCGAAATTTGGTGGATAATTCCCTCTTTAAACTCAGCGGCACGCATCAGAAAATGACCCTATGAGTGGCATGCGGTCAACTGGTCATCTCCGACTTTAAATGACTCTGATCATAATACACATGCTTTATTTTACTTTAGCAAATGTCATACTGACTTCACCGTAATAAAAATTTTCAAAGTTTGTGGTAATAGAATGCTAACGAAGAAAAACCGTTTTTAACTAGTACATTACTGACATCGCATACTTTTAAATTTCATTGCTATAGATGCATCGGAATTAAAATGCATAAAAAATAAAAACAGTTTTTCAGAAGCAACTTCTTTTTAAGATTGAACATCGATGTCTAGAACAATGCTTATTTCTTGATGGAATATATAGAACTATTATTATAATTATTATTTCCTTTTAAAAAAATAAAGTACACTATTTATTCAAAAAATAGACACGTACTAAATGTCATTCTGTCCAAGTGATACAAGTGATATGGTCTTTCTTCATACAGGGAAAAAATAACTAAGTTATATACTTTGCATTAACAAGCATTATTAAAGTTATTTGAGTTTAGTGGATACCTTTATTTCTATGTGAGAAACACTCACTTGAATTAAAAAAAAAAGAGTTAAACTAAACGATATAAAATCTATAGCTTTCTATCGAAAGTACATATAAAATTCAAATGTTTTATGTGGTAAAAAACTCCGTTCTCATTGTTACATTAACGTAAAGCGTTAGATAATGATATAGGTTATTTAGCAATTCTTATCATTTAATGGTTATTTATTAGTTATATTTACTGGTTATCATTTACTGGATATATTTCAAATCGAGCATTGGATAAATAGAAAATTTTCTACTGAAATGCTAATGCCATATACCTATCAAAGGGCCCTTATGGTAAAATTAAAATTAAAATTAGATGAAAGTTCAAGGTGAAAATTTATTGAGACTGAATAATAAAGTACCCAAACTGGTTGCTGGGATTTGCAGCTCGGTTGTACGATACCTATCCACTTAGATGAGAAGATTAAGTTCTACCTGCTGTCTAAGATGGATTCGATGTCTCCGTGCACACCTTGTTTGTTATGAACAGAGAAAAGTTTTTAATTAAATCATTTTCATATTTCATTCATTATTTCATACTCTTTTTATTGATAAATTGTTGTATTTGGTAGACATGTTGCCATGAGTAAATTTGTATTCTATCAACTGAAATCTAGATTTAGAGATAATTAATAAATATTTTATGTATACCTTCTTTGCAATCTCGTCCGTTAGAATCAAGCAAGAAACCATGGTGACAGCTGCAATGATAACTGCCGATTGCATTTTCACAAACATGGCCGCAACCACCGTTTTCTGAAGCGCATTCATCCAGATCTGAAATATTAAAAAATAAAAATAAAAATTTGGATAGTAGTTGTAAATAAATTATTTTTAAGGCTGTAAAATAATTTTAATCTATTAATTACAGATGCTTCACCTACTGGTTTGGAATGTTTTACGTGCGTTTACTATAAATAATTTGAAATAATTTTTTTATCTTGTTAGGAAAAAGGGAATTTTTGTAAAAATGATAAATATTTATTTTGGAAAGGAGACTTGCAATGGTCTCTTTAAGATGGTTCTGAATGAGGGTGTAACTATTTTTTATACCCTACTCCTGTCAAAGGGGGACGAGAAGAGGAATTTCTTTAAATACCAGTTGCAATTTTGGAAAGCAATATAATCACAAAGAATTAAATCTGGAGAATCTATAGAATGGCTGGTAACCACACAGTTTGATCCAAAAATTGTAAACATATTTATCGGTGTAAAAATGCATCACTGTAAAGTGTAAGAGTGATTTAATAATATTCGACTGAATTGTACAAAAGATAGCATTAAATGATCATCCACATCCTCTTTTCAGCTCCAAAAATCATTTACTCAGGTAATTTTTTTTAAAATTCAATTCAGTTTTACTAGTGAACTTTATAGGGAATAAAACATATAGCCCTATGATTTAATTGCTATATTCTACATTTATTTAATAAGTATATAATGAGAGGGAAAATAATACAAGCTGTAACAAATTAAACAATTTAAAACAAAAACCGCTAATTGAATTTTTTTTCCGTCAGGAAGCAGGGATACCCAGTCCTTTTCTTACGTCGACAACTTTTAAAAGAATGGTTTTCTTTGTCGAACCGCCTTACATTTTCTGTATAATAAACAGTATTGTTAAGAATTTTGTAAATATAGTGAAATTATATGTGAAATCATAGTATTTGTTTTAATAATGAAGCATGAAAAATCTAAAAAAGTGAAGCTTTGCTGGAAAGGTACAAATACATGGTCAAAACTATTTAACATTGACTAAATGGCTGTCTCGGTAAATTATCGAGATATCGCAATCGTGACGGTTTTGGCGACTAATTTTTGTCTCCACATTTGAAAAGAAGTTGCCAAACTCGGCGACAATTCAACGACATTTTGATTTGGTCCATGTATAACTGCAACTGGTATTGTGATTGAATAAATGTAATTTATGAATGTAATTGTAGCCGTATATGGCCCTCAGTAATTTCGAGAAGTACTAGAGATTTCTCAGCGGCCATGGAAATGCTACATTAGACTCAAAAGAGCATCAGTTTCGGAGTTACTTTCCTTTGTTTTCCTATCGCGGGACTAACTGACTGTTTTCATGAGATGTGTCCATTGGGCATTACTTCATCAGGGCTTTCAACAGCCTACCTTATAGGCTAGTAAAATATAAGAAGCTCACATTAGAGCAGTTTCAGAGTTGTTTAGTTCGGCTTGAGTTCGGATTATTGAGATATCTCTGTGTCAACTTCGCTCTTTAGGCGTTTTTAGCGTGTGTTTAACATTCTAAGTAGTTTGAAATGTAGCTACTAATTGTACTCTGTGATACTGTGAAGAGCTGTACGAGTATTTTTGTGTGAAGTGTTCCTTTTGATAAAATAAATTTTATCAAGCTACTATTGGTTCTGTGCGCATTCAATCTATTAAAAACTCGCACGCAACAGTATATAACATAATCATAATACAAATAATTATACAAAAATAGTTTAAAGATAACAATTAAATTAAAAATATGAACAAAGGTTTAGAAGAAATGGTTTATTAGATTTATGTATTACTAGCTGATACCCGCCCTCTTTGCTGGACGCACTATCTATTTGAATGTGAACCTAGACTTACGAAATGTCTAATTTCGAATTGATAATTGATGTAAATTTTTTAAATTTAAAGTCGGAAAATATAGTGCCAATCAGTGAAACTGTCATACACAGATTTCCACATCACCCATGAGGTACTGTGTATTGGGATGCGTCCCCATTATTTAACGTGGTGGAATCCAGTAGGCCTACACCACGAAAAATTGCCAAAATAAAACTAAGGTTTATATATGTTTAGCTGTTATCATAAGTTTCATGAAAATAATTGTTATTATCTTTGTTATCAAATTTCTAATCAATTATAATTATTTTTTTTGATTTTTTGTGTATGACAATTTTTATGCATATCAACAACATTTTTACTTTTCATCACAATAATTTATTTCTCTTAATAATAACATTTATTTTCATGAAACTTATGATAACAGTTAAATATAAATGTTATTATCAACCTTATCTAACCTTAATTAAATCACATCGTTCAAAAATTTCAACCTGTTTCTTGTTTCCCGTAGTAAATTATTGACATTTAAATATTGTTTGTATTCATTGGATAGATGCAAGTTATTTACCAATTTAATAATTTTAAGGGAAAATGAATTCATTGGCAACATTGTATTTCATTGTTTTTTTAATAATTGGAATAAAATTGTTTAACCTAATTATTCTTAAATCACGTAGTTCAAAAATATTCAACCTGTTTCTTGTTTCTCGTAGTAAATTATTGACTTTACTAAAGCCTGCTTCCACTAGGTAAGAAAAAAGGAAAGCCAATAATGTTGATTCGGTAACAAATTTTATTTTGGGATATTTCTTTCAGGTGACTTAAATTTCAGAACATAGTATACCCCGATGTTTTGAATGCGACATTTGTTCGAACATTCTCTTTCAATGCTATTTCAGCTTTTTCTGCATATTAACAATTTTTTCTGCATATTATCAACTTTTTCTGCATATTAAATTTATTGCAGTTCTGATGGGACATTCAAATTTTCATTGTCTTGAAAACGAACATTAAAATCTTCTTTTAAATTTTGTTAGTGGCTTATATAACAATATATCTTCAGGGAAAGTTTGATTTTTCCTTATTTTTTTAATTGGATTTTCTTGCGTTTGTTCGCTTTACTTTTACATATTGCACTTACTGCATGAAAATTTTACATATTTAAATATGATACTCTTTATTTTTTTAAAATATTAAATAATTTTTGTTTAAAGTTTCCCTTATATTTTTATGATTTCTTTTTTACTATATGATGTAGCTTTATGTCAATAAACAATTAACTTCTAATTTTATTAATACATTTTTGTAACCAATGGGATATGAATAATGGTGATCAATTTCAACGCATATTCGGCTACGATGCTGATCATCATTGACTCCTTTAATATTTCATCGAACTGCAAATAGGTATATATATATATATATATACAGGGTGCGGCAGAGAAACTACTTTATTTTAAAAATGAATAACACAAATAGTATAAGCGATATCAGTTTAATTTTTTTTCCAAGTTATAGAGAGACACTTAAAGTTTTTTTATTATGGTTTAAAAATAATATCATTAAGGTGGCCTCCGTTCTGGTCAATGCATTGAGATAGTCGAGTTTTGAAGTTTCTTTCCACTTTACCAGCATATCAACGGGTATGTTGTCGATAGCAGCTTGAATATTGTCTTGAATATAATATGAGCCAGAGTCTTTGGACTAAAGATATTTCAGATAGCCCCACAAAAACAAATCACACGGGGCTAAATCAGGCGAGCGCGCTGGCGACTGACGATCGCCCTGTAAGGAGATAAGGCGTCCAGGGAAATGTTCTCCAAAAAAAAAAAAAACCGTGGTCCAATGATGCCTATTCTGGACAATGCACACCAAACAGTCACACTTTCTGTATAGAGGGGCTGCTCATGAAATTCTTGGAGATTCGTGCCACTTATCGCATGTTTTGCTTAATACATGCTGCAACCGGAAAGATGAAAATGAGCCTCATCGCTAAAGAACACAAGGGTATCATGAGGCATATTACCAAGACCGGCTTTTCATGCATTTTTTGTGAAAGAAAATTGCGTGGATTAAGTTTTTGCACCACTACCAATTTATATCGATGAAAATGTAGTACGTTGAAAAGTACGACTCTACGGCGAACGCGCGCTCCTCTCTCGTCCACTGCATGATCGATACTAAACTTACATGACATAAAACGTTAGCTATCGCTCTTTTTTAATGAGCGCCACCCCACCCCTCTCGGAATAAATGTCGCTAGATGGGGCGCGTTTCAAATAAAGAAGTTCCCCTTCCGCACCCTGTGTGTGTATATATATATGTGAAATATAAAATCTAGCTTTCAAATAATAAATTAATAGCCCTTTAACTTCCGTTTCATTCTAAAAATATAAATTTTACTTTCCTGTACATTAAAGTGTCACGTGATCTGAAATGGAATTCGGTATATAAAAAGCTTAATTACGTCACAACTTCCTCTTCTTCGCTTCGCTTGTATCTCCCGCTGCTTTACGCTGTGTCGACAGCTATGCAAAGTTTACTTTCCTAAATTTGTCCATTGTTTAAGATGTAAGCTAAACAAATTGCGAACTGCATAGAGCACCCACAGTGATAATGTGCATTATCATCCACGAATAAAATTGTTTGTGGAATTTACAGTTATGTGTTTTCTTCGACTGTCATCTTGCTAACTACGCAGCAAAGTCGCAGTCCTCTCCAAGCCAGTCCGTTGCAGTACTCACGAAGTCATCTTATTTCATCTATTAATGCAGTCTTATTATGATAACAACACAATTACCAAATGGATAATAACGCAGTTATCATATAATGGAGCAGTTTTATTACATATATATATATATATATACCCCTTTGCATATATATCGATCGATCCCTATTGGAAATACCTGGTTTGTAGATTTCGTTCGATAAGTAATGTAGTTCACCAAGTAAATCTAAAATTTAGTGACCAGTTTCTTAAGTTTGATAATACAGGGACCCAATTTTGATGTTTAATAACTCATAAAATAATAAAGATATATATATATATAATACAAAATATGAAAAAAAAATTATTAAACTTAACTGAAACCATTTGGTAACAGAGTTTCAAATTTATAAATTTTAACTAAAAACACCTCCGCTACAAAATTACGCTTTGCAACATATTACGCTTCACTGTGACACATATTACG